GGTAGTATTCAATTAGTCAAAACATTTGATGGCCGAACCAATATATGAATAGATAATGGTCAGTTGATGTACCAGTAATGGCTGTTCTTTGCACTAATGTGTACCAAGCACCAGCACTACTGCCTGTCTGCCAGTTCAGAAGATTAATGATGGTGTAGCCTGATGTCCTCTACAGTCACTAGTGGGTTGTAAATCATTCTTTGTAAAAGCGACATGTGACTTTGATTTCCGTTTGAATGTTTGACCTGTTTGATAGCTCAGTAATTGTTGCATCAAATGCGGCACTTTGGCAAACGCTGTCATTTGGAGAGACATTTGATAAAGGTTAGCTGGTTATTTTAGATACAGATGTGTATGTGTGCTTAATATCTTAAGGGGCTCTGTTATGCTTTTTGGGGTTTTCCCTTTCCTGTATTGTGTTATAAAGGTTTTTGTGCATGTTAATGGTCTGCAAAGGCTAAAATCCCAAAGTTCCCTCCAAAGGGAGTCTTTCTCTCCCCCCCCCACCTCCGTTGGACTCCTTTCTTTACTTCCCTAACATAGTGACATCCTTATGTAGCACTCACACTTCTTTTGACTAGCGCTCCAACACATTGTACCTGATAGCCTAAGCAGTTGACCAATAACAACAGAGCAGGCCAGCTAACCAATCAGAGAAGACTTGGCTCCGGTTTCAGACAGAGGGTGAAAAGAGGTGCTGCAGCACAGGCAGTATGAGAAAAATAAAGACCTTTTTGTACATTAAAGCATGCAAACAATTACAGTAGAGGCACAAATATGACCCTGAAAATGAGCATGATTAAGCCCATTTACTGTATTTAAACAAGAAATACAAATGGCAACAATATTTCATCTTGAATGCCACACCTCACTTTCCTGAAAGAACTCAATGTTCCTTATTTCAATTGGGGAATATAAACTTAGAAATACATTTAGAAAGCCTGTGGTGTCAGCCAGGAAAACTCTTGTAGGAAATTGAATGCTGCTGAAGAGCTAGAAAGTTCAATTGTACCAGAAAATGAAATACAGCTTTAATAATTGCAGAAGTGAACTGGTAGAAGAATACGAGCTTTTTATTAGTCTAGTTGTCAGGCTTTGGCTATTGATAGTTCTGTATTTTATCAGTATCAGTGAAGAACTGGGTGCTTTATCATCTACGACACATCTTAGGTGAATTACATTTCTAAATTGAACGGCACCTTTTATCCAAAAGCTTTCACTAAATGACTTCACTGTATATTGAAGGAAATGCATCAGAATATTTTAGCGCTTAGAATGTTATTGTATACTGTATATATGCCGTAAGGCAAATACAATATATTTCAAGACTTTCATTTCAAAAGTAAGCCGTGAATATTTACTCACCAGAAACCAAGGAGACGGAGCACAGCAAATAGAATATTTCTGACGTGTAACCACAGACAGAAAGTAATAATATAAAGCATAGAGGGGAATTAACATCAGTAAATATCAGCTGAGATAACCTTGCCTCATACAAGTCATTTAATTTGAGAGCAATGTCCGAATTTATAGTACCATACATTTCTCTCAAAAGTGCAATTAAGTTAATTATATATACTCGTTATGTGTAGGTCCGAAAAAATACGGCTTCTATATGTATATTTATATGAGTGATGGGCCACAATCACACATTTGAATCGCGATTAATCGCATGATTTTCTTCGATTAATTGCATTGTTATGCGCAAAATTCAATAGGTCCAGGGCATTAACTTTTTATCTAGTTTGTTAGAGAAAAACAAGTTACCCTCAGAGTCCAGTGATAAGAACATTTAACTTTGGAGTGGTTACAAATAACTCTGGTTCTATCAACTCGTCTGGAGGAGATTTAAAATGTCCATGTAAGAGTTCCGTACCTTTCTCCATGTTTCTGTCCCGCCAGTTCTTTGCTGTTTCGGTTCATGTGAGCGCTGCAGCAGTCTTAAGCCCGCCCCAAATGCTCTCATTGGTTGAGGCGCGTGATGACGCCCATCCTAAGCCAATACTGATCAACATCCCACCCCTCCTGTGACCTCCATGGCTTGTCTGTATGTGTATTCAAAGCAACCCGGTATCACGGCAAGACATGAACATGTGACGATTTACCATGCTGGGAGACGTGAAGATGTCACACTCGATTACGCCGATTTTCTAGTTTCCCCAGCTGGTTGACACCTCTTTTAGCAGAAACAAAGGCTGCATTAATGTATTAAATTGATGTTAATCCATGCGTGTGGATCTGGAATTAACGGACGTGACGTTGTGCGATTGAGTTGCCAGGCAACACCTTCGGTTCATGTTAATTTACAAACTCTTCAACTACAACCGTAGTTATATTTAAAAACATGTTACAAGGCCTCACGAAATACTTTAATGCAAATTAAAATGTAAATGTGAAGGAATGTGTGTATAACAAAAATACATGGGTGATAAACGAAATAATAAAATGATACAATTCAATAACGTGCTTTAACCGCCAGGTGTACCTTTCTATCAGCTCTGCACCGTTATGGTGTAAATACAGCCTATCTACCAATTGGATCTATAAAAGTGAATATAAAAGTCAGCCGAATTAGTGTTGATACTGCAAGGAGACGTATTGTGTGAAAAGAAATGTAAGATGTTGTTTAATTGCTGATATATTTATGATACACGTCACGTTTTCAATTTTGGCGGAAGTTCTTCCTGTTTGTCTAGAAGTCTTCTCATCAGGGCTCTATAAATAGAGAACTACGGCAGATATGTAACATTTAATGCAGCCAAACCGTGTATTACAATGCCGTTATGTGATGACTTTCAAAGAGAAAAGCAAGCACACTCGGAATAAAGTATTTTATTTTTTGAAAATGTTTTCGGTCCATTTGTTAATGACGATGTGATGTGAGATGTGAGACTGGAAAT